GATTAAGATCAAGAAATTAAATAAAGACTCCTTACATCTTTATATTCAACCTTACGGAAGAACTCCTAATAATCGATTATAGATCTCTTATTCTTCATGTTATAGAACGCCGCTTGTCCAATCTTTGTTGCAGATGAAATCATTAGGGAAAAATCCCCATGTTTCATAACAATAGAATATTTGGGAAAACATACATCAACTACGCAGGGTATCCGTAGTAATAACCACATCTGCCAAAGAAATTAAAAAAAAAATGGTTGTTGGTCAAGGGTAAAAATGTAGGATGGCAACGCAAATTGATGTTATGAACATACCTGTAAAGCAAAGGCACAACCAAAGAGGGTTGTGCAGAATGGGCCATGAGGCAGCTCCCCAAGCATAATTTGGGATATCGTGAATATCCCGGAGCAAATGTAGCCAAGAAAGCTCAATGTCACCCGTTCCATTATCTTGGTGGACGAGAGATGATATCCCTAAAAGAACCACAGCTCGACATAGTTGGTCAACACGAACATCGTCCATCGGATTTGCACCGGTGTATCACATGATTATACAAAACATCATATCTCAACTTTCCCTCAAACTCCAACCCTAAGAGTTCCTGGTAATTAGGGCTATCTTGCTTTGGGAAGCTCTACATCGGCAAAGCAGTCATATATAGAATGTCTTCCACTCCAAAAAACAGTTCCACATTACCAAAGTTAAAAGTTCTTATATTATATTCATAAGAGCAAACAACATGCTTTGTTGATGTCTTAATGTGAATGTAATGTTACATGCCTTGTCCCAACCAGACCCATGCAATTTTTTCATTCAGATAGAATGTTTAGCCCCTTCGGTTTCTCTCTCACACTCAAATTTGACTTTCCTTCCATCCTACAACCATTGTAAACAAAAACACAGCCACATCATTAAAGTCAATCTTTAAAATTAACGCCTTCAATTTCATGTTAGGTTCAGTCTTGTTTATTAAATTAAAGTCACTGAAACCTCAACCAAAAATATTAATAAAAAAAATAAATTGAACGAGAAACCTCAATCAACCGAGTCATTAGCAAAATAACTCAAAAACAACCGCATAATTGACCACAATAATAAAGTAAAAAATAGAACAAAAAAACATGAATCAACAAAATAATTACAAAAAAAGAAGGAAAGAAAAAAGAGTTACGTAAGTCGGTGACCCTCCAAGGCGTCGACTGGTGGCCGAAACTGAGAAGTGCCGAAGTGAGGAGTGAGGATAGTAGTCAGTGAGTCACAGGTCAGAAAAGAAAATGGGCATTGCACTAATTTCCTAGTTTTTTTTTTTTTTTTTCATATGAAAGCAGCCAAATTAAGCACGTGTGTTTATCAATTTCTTAATAAACACACTACTGTACTTTAAATTGGGGGAGTGAAGAAGAGGAAGAAGATGTAGTACAGTAGTAACTAGTAAGAGGAGAAGTACAGGAAATGGATTTAGGTTTTCGAGACGTTTGGTTTTGGATTTAGGTTGCTTTTTCAGTTGGGGGATGTAGGCTCCGTTTGGTAGGGCGTAAAACATTTTCACTGAAAAGTATTTTCCCATTTTACATTGTTTGCTTTGGTGTAAAACATTAAAATGTAAAACTTGGGGTGGAAAATCATTTTCCACCTTATTGAAAACATTTTCCCCCCAATTTAGAAGGAAAACACTTTCTATCACAAGTGGAGGGAAAACATTTTCCCTCACAATTGAATTTTCAGTTCAACCAAACAATGGAAAATGCTTAAAATGGAAAATCATTTTCCATTCAACCAAACAACGGAAAACTTTTTTGAAAATGAGTTTTCCATTGAAAATGTTTTACACCCTACCAAAGTAAATACATTTTTATTTTTATTTATTTATTTTTTTTTACATCAGTTTAACTGGCACATTTGTCAAGACTTAACTTTGACCATTAATATATTTGATTGTCTATTAGTAAAATTTGTAACAAAATGGAGTATTATAAAAGTAGTTACAACAACTTTTTGGTGCAGCAGGCCACACCGTGCGGCAAGGGTTACCCGAATTATTTTGTTAGGAGTTACCCGAGTTATTCAATTAGGGGTTACTCGAGTTACTCGGTCAGGGGTTATTTAAGGGGTTTGGACAGGGGTTACTCGAGGGGTTCACTCGGTCAAGGGCTACTCGAGTTACTCGGTTAGGGGTTACTCGTCGTGGGTTACTCGAGTTAATCGGTTAGGAGTTATCCGGTTAGGAATTATTTAAGGAGTTCGGTCAAGGGTTACTCGAGTAGTTCGGTCATGGGTTACTTAAGGAGTTCAGTCATGGGTTATTTAAGGGTTCAATCAGGGGTTACTTGAGAGGTTACTCAGTCAAGGGTTACTTGAGGGTTTACTCAGTCAGGGGTTACTCGAGAGGTTGGTCATGTATTACTCGAGGGGTTACTCGGTCAGGGGTTACTTGAGGGGTTACTCGGTCAAGAGTAACTCAAGTAACCCCGCCAACTTGAGTAACCCCTGACCGAGAAACTCGAGTAAACCCTGACCGAGTAAATCGAGTATCCCTTGCCGCACGGTACAACAGCAGGCTGCATTCAAAATATTGTGAAGTAGATATTGTGACAAATCTAATGATATATAATATAATAACATTTATTTATTTTATAATAGCAAAAAAATTAAGTCAAACATAACATATAAATAGTGTAAAAATCAAACTGATTCATTATAAAAAAAAAAATAAATAAAAAAAAAAAAAAAAAAACGGAGAAAATACTACGGATTACTTTAAAAAGTTCATTGTTTCGCTCTGTCACTCTTATTTTGTCCTCTGCATTAGTACAACTTTACGACCTGATTTTCCCCCTAATTTTTCGTTGAGATAATCAGATCGGGTTCGGTGAGGTAGGTCGGGTCAATTTTTAAAGTTGAGTCATACTAAATTATTGTGTCCACACGAGTCAAAATTTGAATCGGATATTTTTTCGGATCAATTTCAGATCGGGTCGGGTTGGGTGTGATTTTGACGCCTATAGATATGATTTAGACGTAAGTTATTTTTTTATTTTAGGCATTTTTTTAAAATACATTGTCAAATCTGATCTATAAATTCAGATTTATTGACATTCACAACAATTGCTTATAAGAACTAAATAGGGGAGCTTAGTTACGGGTTAAATCAAATTTAAGAATTAGCATACCGGTTTGAAATTTGGATAGGTTAGCGAATTTCAATTTTCCTATGCATTATCAAGACCAGCAAAATTTCAACTGTATCTGTAATACTCCGTACTAATTAGGAGAAGTAATTTTTGGAACAAAACGTTAGAACTTAAAATGGATCCAAACAACAATACATTTGATAATTTTTGGAACAAAGGGAGTAAAGAAAACTATGACTCGACCTTCTTCAATTAATAAAGATGTTGATTTAAGCATAATTTTTCAATAAATCTCCAATAATACATTGAAAAAATTCATGGCAATAATCCGACCTTTAGCCCATTCTTTTTTAATAATCCGACCTTTCGATTATTATTTAATAATCCGACCTTTGGGGGTCTTTAATTTTTATTGGTCCCATTTGACCAGAAACCGGTTGAAGAGGTAATTTTTTTTTTTTAAGTTTAATTTACACGTGTCACAATTTGATTTGTCCAAAATTAAAAAAAAATTAAAAAAAACCACACCCCTGCCACCACCTTCCCCACCACCCCTGCCACCATTCCCTCTCCTCCTACCCTTCACGCAGCTCCCCTCTCCCCTAGCCCAGAAATCGGTCGGCCGGCGTCCAGCTTACCCACCGCCGGCCGAACCACCTTCTATTACTCCGACCTCCCCTTAATCGTCGCCCCACCCATCCAAACGAACCCTAACCCGCGAAAACCGCAACCAACCTCCACCTTCCCTCACCGCAACCCCTTCTCGATGAAACTCTGAAATTGGTTGCGTGCCCGCGAACAATTAGAATCAAAATTGGGGCTTTGTTGAGGTTCGAATGGTGGCAGGTCAAGGTGGGCTTCGATTGCGGTGGTGGTTAATTGAGTTGGAGTTGTTTTGGTGCGGTGGAGAAGGGTGGTTGGAGTGGTGGCAGCAGCGCTGCAGGTGCTGTTATCGGCGGTGATGGGATGCGCTTATTGCGGCTGTTGTGGAGTGTATGGTGGCTGCGATGGTTGAAATGTTGTGCGCAGGGCTGCTCGGGTTAATTGATGTTGGTGGTGCGCGTAGAGGTGATAGATACGAGGGGGCTGATGAGCTGGGTTGATGACGGTGGCTGGTGAGTTTAGTACGTGGCTGTTGCGGTGATTGGTGATGAAGCGTGGCCAGGCTGCCGGAGCAGGTACCGGCGGCAGGGGGCTGGCCTGGGCTGGTGGCTGGGCTGGCTCCCTAGTGGCTGGTTGTTTTATTTTTATTTTTTTTATTTTTTCTGTTTTTTTGTTTTTTTTTTGTTTTTGTTTTTTTTTTTATTTTTTTTATTTTACCAATCACAGGCCGCCACGTGTCATGTAACCTGTTATATGACCGGTTACATGACCGGTTGGGATCAATAAAAATTAAAGACCCCCAAAGGTCGGATTATTAAATAATAATCGAAAGGTCGGATTATTAAAAAAGAATGGGCTAAAGGTCGGATTATTGCCATGAATTTTTCCTAATACATTTGTATACAATATCAGTGTCAAATTGAAAATGTAGCGTTTACTCTTGTATTTAAAGGGGAAATTTCTCATCACCAAGCATTGTCTAGATATTGTAAATATACAATGAGAAGGTTTTGCGTGAGACCAGACTCACCGTGAGTCTAATATGTCTGATACCTGACAATGATATTCTAATATCTAACAATGATATTCTAATACCTGACAATGATATTCTAATACCTGACAATAATAATCTAAAACCAAACAATAATAATCTAATACATGACAATAATAATCTAATACCAAACAATAATATTTTTGGGACTTATTCATTTTCACAGCTCTCTTCATCTCTCTTTTGATTACTTCTTCTCTATAATTTCATTCAATTCAACCTTCTAATTTCTTCTTCTTTGACTCATCGTCGTTAAACCCATCGACGGCATCAGCGTCAGCAGCGGAGAAGTGGGTAGAACCCCAGTCAGCGCCGTAGAGGATGGAAGTGGGTTGGACGTGGAGGAGTGTGACGGAGTCGGAGGGAAAGAGGTAGTTTTGGACGACCCATTGAACAATGAAGGCGCTCTCGTCGCTGAGATCGACGGAAATTGCGATTTTCCGGTGGGGTTCGTCGCCGGCAGTGGAAATAGTGGTGGAGGAAGACGCTGAAAGTGGGTAACGAGGTGATGATGGTTGGATTTCAATGGCGATTGGACGGTCAAGATTTGGTTTTGATGGTGAACTCATTTTAACGAGAGTTGATGAATGAATGGTGTTGTGAGTGTTCATGGCGGCGGACTCACGGTGAGTCCAAATTTTCGATATACAATACATTGATACTCGTACACTCCCATAGTCCCATCTCTCATTACAATTAAACTATTATGAATAGCAAACTAATTATCATACTAATGGGGGATTCTAATGTAGTCATATGACTTTTGACTACCACAATATTTTAAAATGGACGGTTAAGATTATTTGTTTTTTTATTTAGAGGTGATTTTGAGCATGTGCAGGGTGATCGATCGCATAGGGCCCCTAAGTGAAACTATTATAAAAGGGCCCCAATTTTTGAATTTAATAACATATTTTTCATCCAAAAAATGGTTTTAGGGCCCAATTTAATAAAATTGTACCGGACCACTTTCATTGTTAGCATTTGTAGACCCGCCTCTGTTTTTATTTATTTTTTGAGTAAAAATAAATAACTTTTTTCTTACAAAAAACTGATTTAAAGAATCAAACCACTCTAGTTTAAAAAAAAATAAAAAAAATCAAACCACTCTCTCTATCGTTCTAAAGATTCCATCACCATAACTATCTTCAACATTGTTCACAAATGTTAGTCAATTTTTTTTTGGCTATTAAATTTGTCTATTTCGTTGGTAATTAGTTTATGAATATGATACGTGTTCTAATTTTAACGAATATTGTAAATACGTTAGACAAATTTTATGAATTTAGTTTTTAGTATTCAATTGCTGTACTTTTTGAGTGGAATTTTACTCTTGCAATTTGGTGATTAATTGTGTTTCAAATGGTTTGCTAATTGTAAATATATTTACCCAACATAATTTTCAGTTAAACCCCTAAAAACCGAAATCTTATGTTTGTTCAATTCGTAAATGGTTGTTGAGGATTCATCAGAATTTGTGACTCCATTAATAAACAGAGAAGAGCAAGGAGGGATGAGAGCCAAATTGTAGGAAAACTGCAAACAAAAAATTGGTTTGATTTTATTTTTATTTATTTTTTTTTTTTTTTTTTTGAAACTAGAGTGGTTTGATTCTTAAAATCAGTTTTTTTTTTTTTTTTTTTTTTATAAGAAAAAAGTGATTTAATTTTACTCAAAAAGTAAATAATAAAGAAAATAATCTCAACCGTTCATTTTATAAACATTGTGGTAATCAAAAGTCATATGACTACATTAGAATATTCATAACATTTTATATTATCGTGTCCAAAAAATGAGTTTAAATATAATAATCATAAAAAGTGTAAAATATAAGGAAATTATACCTTAGAAATATACGAGTAATTTGTTTATCGAGCTGATTAACGAATTGTAATTATTTTGTTTATAAAGGGCTCCCCAAGGACCCCTATACATAACCAAACACCTTACTTAAACACAAATATTTCGTACTCGTACTAACGAATTGTCTACTTGTTCCGTAGAGAGAAAAAATAGCTACGTTTGAGTCCAGGGGAGTTGGGAGTTTTGCTTTCACTTGTGTTTATCAATGTCTTCTTCCTTAACCTTAGTTGGGTTAGTGAGCAACCCATCAATTTCTTGCCTCAAAATACAAGAAAAATCTTATAAATCTCCATCCTTTGTTAATTTTGGACAGAAAAATCACAAATCTTTGAAGTGGGTTAATCCCAATCTCAATCTGAAAAGGGTGATTCTGATTGCAGCATCAGCTTCAAATGGGTCTCCTGGGATCTATTCTTCCCAACAATTGGAGCTTTCAGTGAAGAATGTTGACCTAGTTTTGGAAGAAGTCAGACCTTATCTCATTTCTGATGGTGGAAATGTGGATGTTGTTTCTGTTCAAGATGGCATCATTACCCTTCAACTTCAAGGTTTTTTTTTCCCCCTTTAATTGGCATGTATAGTGTTTTCTGATTACTTGATTGCCATATTTTTTTAATCTTATTATCTTATAATAAGCTGTTGATATAGGCTTTAACCTCTAGAATTGGGCAAAACTGAAATATTTTACTATGTTAATTGCAAAAGTGGAGTCTTTGATTGGTAATATTCCGTAGTAATTGCAAAGATGAAACATTTGATTGATGATGGTGATTGCAAAGATGAAATATTTGATTGATAATGGTAATTACGAAGGTGAGATTTTTGATTGGTAACTGCAAAGGTGAAATATTTGATTGATAAATGGTAATTGCAAAGGTGTTTTGGTTGTGTGTTGGTGAGCCCTTTATTGAGTAGGCCTATTATGTCCATTAGTTGCATCAAAACCAGATATTGATTACTCAATCATTTCAAGTTCATCAAGAAGTTAGAAGTTCGTCCATATGTTGAAACCGTTGAAGGGAGATGCATCTAGTACTCGTACAGTCGTACCTCAGTGATGGTCTTTGTTAATGATATTAGGCCATATACTAGTAGTTAGAATACTTGCTTCTCCGTCCTTGTACTAAGATTAGGTACTTATGTTGGCTCATGTTGTAGCCAAAATGTCTTTACTTACGGGGAGGAGAGAGTTCAGATTGAGGACTATGAGGAGTGTCCTTCAAAAAATATTCTCAGGTAATGTTTGACAAAATTTGTATGCGATGATAATGAGAGTTTTTCATGTAAACGATTACATCCCTTTGATCATGGGTTTGCCTAGGATGGTGAGTTCATCAACAAGATGTTTTTTTATGGGTGATGGCCATTGATGATGGCAGGTGACTGTCATCCACCAACTTGAGCAAATCATAGTCATTGAGATGGGCCTCAAGATGTACCATCCACGTGAGATAGTAATAGGAAGAGTTTGAGAGCTTTGGAATTGTTATAGCAGTGAGGGGTTTTGATGGTCCTTGGTCATTTGGAATGCTGATTGGATTGTTGGTGTTCATTGACATTCGACAGCACAGTAGTGAGATGGGATGGACAAACAATTAGTATGAGTAAGGGAATTGGAGCAAATAACATGTACAAGTAGAAATTATATTTGCATAGCATGATGAGTATATTCATGTATATATAGCTGTTGTAGACAATTTTCAGAATGTCAACTGTTGTGTTTGTTACCTTAATGTCAATTTTTCCTATTTGTTTATGCTTAACGTACCAAGATGGAGGTTACAGAAATGCGCATGTGAAGGTGGATGTGTGGGAACACCCTAAGAGATAGAATCAGAAATGAGGTTATTCGCAAGAAAGTAGGTGTGGCAAGGCTTGCAGATAAATTAAGGGAAAATCGTCTGCGTTGTTTTGGGCATGTAAGACGGAGACCCGAGGGTCCACCGGTGCGAAGAGTGGAAGAGTGAGACCATGGAGGGGTTAAATGAGAGAGAGGGAGACCGAAAATGACTTGGTTGGAAGGAGTTAGGAAGGATATGAAGTGTATGGATGTGCATGAGGATGAAGCATTGGATCGTAAGGGATGGAGGAGGAAGATTTATGTCGATGACTACATGGAATAATCAAATTTGGTTCATGTTAGCCGACCCCACTTATGGGATTAAGGCTTTGATTGATTGATTGATTGTTTATGCTGATTGTATGTAATAATCTGCTGCACTTTCTTGACCACAACTTGGATTATTTAGCTTTCTTGGACATTCCTCTTCATATACTAGAGAGACTATAGATTAGTGTGGGCCATGTAGTTAGAACTCTTAGAAAAATCCCTATAGAATCGCTGATAAACTAGACTAGTGTCTTTTCCTATAATTTGAAAACTGAAAACTGGCGTTTATATCTGCCAGAGGATATTTGCAACTTGTTGAACCCTGTGAATTGGGTGAAAGTGAAAGTAGGATACTCCAATTTCTGAAGCAAAGGGGTTTAAAAAACATTCGTGGTGGAAAAAAAGGTGAATAAAAGATCCCACTGAATTAAATTGGGTCCATGAATCTAAGAAATAGTGAGAATTCTTGATCTCTCTCAATATCTTTCTCAATTCAAAAATCTAGGATTTGAATTGATGATTTGATGCCCTTTCATTTATTCCTCCTAAATTGCATTGATTTATCCTAAAGATTTCATTTCAATTGGAATTTGTATATTCACCATGTACTCCTTAATGCTGGTCTGTTTTTCTACCTTCAGTTTTTCATTCCTTCTTTCTGCTTTGATAACTACTTTCAGAGTTTCAGGGCTGTAGTTGTCCAATAAAAAGGCTAACAATCTGAAACCCTTTATATTGTAGATTTCTACATCAAAGCAATGATCATTGTATACTGTGTGTAATAATTGTTGTAATTACCTATATTTATTAATTCTTCTCCCTCCAACCTAAAATAAACTTCATGGTTAACTTTGTCTCCAACTTTTATCACTTACAACACCAGTATATGGAGAAGGGGGACAAAAGCATGGGTAAATCTTATGTTAAAATGATAAGAGAGAAAGTGTACAAATCAACCATTGACGTATATTTAAGGAAAGAGGTAATTATTATGAGGTAAAATATTGTAATTTAAAAGTGTATTATGGATGGAGGAAAGTTTAATTCTTGTGCATTAAATTAATTTTACTGCATGACAGGAGCATGTGAGAGTTGTCCCAGCTCAACAACCACCATGACAATGGGTATCGAAAGAGTGCTGAAGGAAAAATTTGGTGATGCAGTCAAGGATATTCGTGAAGTTAATGAAGGACAAGTAAATGAAACAACTGTTAAGGTATATCTTTCTTCAATGTTTAGTATGAGATCAAGAAGTTTTGCCGAGTAACCATCTAACAATACTTTGGTGTTTGTAGGCGGTGAATAGTCATCTAGACATACTAAGACCTGCTATTAAGAACTATGGGGGAGAGGTGGAAGTTATAACCATTGAGGATGGAGATTGCACGGTTAAATATAAGGGACCAGAGACCATTGGGTCAGGAATAAAAGCAGCTATCAAAGAAAGATTTCCAGACATTTCAAATGTGATCTTTACGAGCTAGAAAGGTAGTGTTTACTAGCTTGTATGGTTTTCATAATACTTTTTAAGACCATCTGTTATACGGACATGGTAAATCTTGTAGATAATTGATGTTTATTAATTCAACAAATATGATACATTCATTAGAGAAAACTTGTCTATATCTCTACTCTTTAAGATATTGTTCTGGCTTTCATTTGATGCAAGATTGCAACAGCATATTGGATGAGAAATTCATGCCTCATTCTTCGCACCACGGGCTAGAAAAATCGATTTAAGCCATCTTGAAAAATTGATCAAGAATGGCGTGTAAACAAAATAGCAAGTGACGGTCCAGCTGACAAGTCCCTGCATTACACAATCCAACTCTTCATTTAATAGGGTGAAACTCAACTATATAGAGCTGTGTAAGTAGAGTTTATTTACAATTACCTCGCCAAAGATTTGTAAATTTGCCTGAGGATAGTACCATAGGTGCCAATACCTGTGAAATAGCAGAGGATTACACGATAAGGATTATGGAGTTTCTGTTACAATGTTTTGGAAACAACATAATGTAATTATACAATTTTCTTTACTTCCTCTTTTCCTGCTATATAAATCTACTGGAATTGAAGATACTAGCACGTCAGCTTAGCAGACTCACTTCATGATTGGTATCTCAGCTAGTGGGCAAGCAATGCCTATGATGCAGGCAAGAGCAAACCCAAACCATGTTCTATCAGTAAGGAACCAGACGAATTCTGCTGCTGCAAACAAAGCATATGCTTCTACGTTGGCTGGCACACCTGATCTATACATCTCGGCACTCAGCTCAATAAATGCCACCAATGATCTGCGATACAAACAAATGCAGAAAATCTGTGTTCATGTATACTTTGTATGTGTATGTGTATCAATATGATCATGGTTTTCCTGTAAAAAATATGGTCATTTATGATCATTGTTTTAGAATAACTGACATTAGTGAGACAGCTGTTTTCTTAAAGCTTTCTTCTGGATTTATGTCGAGCGATGCTCTTTCATCTAAGTAGAGTTGAAATACTCCGATGGTGCAGTAGAACAATCCCAGTAGAAAAGGAACCTAATCCATCATCAGTGAGAGTGTATGTGAGAGAAAGGGAAAGGCGGACATACAGAGAGAGAGAGAGAGAGAGAGAGAGAGAGAGAGAGAGAGAGAATTCAAACCCAAATGTTGGTGTGCAGAGGACCAATTTGAACTGAACCACTTTGATAAACCACGAGGTCTACCCGTGAATGGAGACCATCGATGAGGGGACCCAAGAAGAAGCCCGAACCAAATAGTGAGAGCGCGATAGGTGGCCATGCAGTTTTAAGTTGTACTTTGTCCTGCTTCTTTAGGCTGCTGCACTTGGGTTGGCTCGCGATATAGATTGGTTTCCTTTGTGACATTCCGCGGTTGTGTAGAGAAGGCAAAACATGCGTGCAAAGTGAAAGGTGATGTTGCATCTCGGTTTCTTTATATTTTATGAGTTTCAGAAATGTACAACATGGAGTATATGTTATTGAGATTGTTGCTGAAATTTTAGTGTTGATACTCTTCTGTGTCTGATACTTCAAACTTAAAGTGCGGGAGAAAATTCTCAACCGCATATTGTTGATTAGAAGGGGACAAAAGAAAAAATTCAAATAAAATCAAGAAATTCAGTGAAGTATAAAACTGTAATGTGGACAAGACTGGTATTTAACTCGAAACAAGCATTTTGTTTGTAGTTAAAAGGAGGTTCAACCTATATCTTTAGGCAAAGCTAGCTCTTTCCCTAAGGAGAGTAGTTGGAAGAAGCTTATCATAATGTTGACGTCTTTTAGTAACAGAATATAATTTGCGCCTTAAGTTGGGAAAAAGCATTGCATGGCACATTGTGGATAGCATAATATACATAAGTATCAAAAGGATTGAATTTATTCAATGTAAGATACAAAATATTTTTAGCCTAAAAATGGATACAAATGAGTTTGTGGCACTAAAAAAGAGTGACATACTACTACATCCATCAGAAAGTTAAAGCTCCTAATTCTAGGGCATGGTGCTGCAATCATCCATCTGCTTTCAATTTCCGAGCCCTTTTGGTCGCTGGTGATGATGGAGCATCTGATGATCTTCCAGGCCCCTTCAAGTTATAATCACAGTTTTTTTAGAAAAAATTAAAAATTGGGAGCTAAAAACTGAAACAGACAAGTAAAATGCAATTTACAGAAAGAACTACATTTACCTTTCTTTTCTGATCCCTTTTACCGACTCTATCCCCTGTAATAGGAAATAAGTTCAGCAACACAGTGACTTGTTAGCCATCTAATTATTAAAAAAAAGTCATTAAAGACAAACCAAAAAAAGGTGAGAAATGTTTACCTCCAAAACTTAGAGGCTCGGGAACAAAAGGGCGGTCCTGATCCCCAGCACGTTGGGAACGCTGTTAAACAGACAGAAGGAAACATTTAGGTTCCAGCAAAGTAAAAAAGGACATAATTTTATCTAGTACTTCAATTTCAAATTAAAATTATGAAGTCCAGTTTATACACATGAAAACACATCTTAAGCATCAAGCCACAAAGAGCAACAAAAAAGGTTTTTTTTAAAGAAAAAAAATATTAAAAACAGGTAATAAGCTGGATGAAGCAATGCTATTAAAGAAAAGTTGATGGTCATTTCAGGCCACATCAAAATCAAAATTCAAAATACTGATGCTATTGAAACATGGATTTCAAACCTTAGGTGTTTCTGGAGTGTCAGTGTATGATCCCTCACGATAAGAAGAACCCTCTGCCTCCTTGTACTGAAACTAAGATTGCAAGTTACCATAAGTCAGTTAAATATACAGGACACAGTCAATCTTAATTTTTTATATCTCAGGGAGCAAATTACCTGCTTTTGAAGATTCAGTAAAGTTAAAATCTCCTTTCTCAATTCAAGATGCTCGGCACATACAGATTTTGTTGGGACCTTTGGCTTCAAATTAACCTGAAAGAAAAAGGCAATTTAATCCTACATAAAATTAATCCAACAACAAGAAGGAAACAAGTTGATGAGAAACAAAATGGTGAGATGGAGCTCCAGAGTTAGCATCTGCTCCCAAAGGCATTACTTAAGCTTCTAAAAGGCATCATCATCCTTTTATATCTTTTCCGCTCTCTAAAATAATAATCCGAGCCTGTAAATAGAGAGGGTACACATCAATTGGAGTAGGGATTGAAGAGGGATTCCTCTATTTCTTTGGTCCAAGGGAATGGGAATGGAGCTGGAAGGGCTTAGGTGGCTGGCCGCTAAAAGAATAGTAAGGACTAATGACATTCCTTGGTTTGCACTCCTAACATGAGAACAATAACTCCACATATAGCCAAACCCACCAAGTAAATTTGGCCTTAGTGGGCCAGTTATTTACCAACTACCCACAAAAACTCAAGAGCAGGAATATAATTCAGGTTCAACAAAAAGATTTGCATCATGAGGCAGGTGCTTATACAGGCTCCAATAATGAAGCAAATTGGTCCCAATGCAAGTTGCAATCACATTTTTAGATAGGCAAATTATAAGAAAAGATGCATGCATACAATAAGACAGTCAAAGTCACTTTTTTTCTCATTAATAGTCACATAATCCTCTATGATGTGTCAATGTCACTTCTGCCTTACTGCACATCTGTGGACACACACACACTCAGAGGGGGGGAAAAAGAGGTGGTGCTGTATTGGAAGACCATAACTGTTGTACCACAGCATAAATTCTAAATGTCAAAGATTGAATATCATTAACCACTTTCTATTTTCTACAAAAGATGACATATTACTATCAACAGCTGATATTCTTTAAGAGATTCAGATCTTAGAATTCGAGAACTAGCTAGGTTAATATGAAGTCAAACCCCATATACACTGAAGATGCAGTAGTTATTTCCCCTCTACATATAGCTTCAGCATCACATATATCACGCCATATTCGTAAAACCAATTTATTATGCATAAAATAATACAAATTTAACCGAAAGATAAAAAAACAAACCCCAAGATCTTGCAAAGTCTGCTCAACCCGCTTGATTGTTCGAAGGCCAGCAGAAGAGCTAACAGCCTGTACCATTTGGTCAAGAGCATATGTCCTCAAGTATACACGCATCTGCAAATAGTTCAAAGGTAATATAAATACTCAATGACTGAATTTTATACCTACAACATTGCAATTTGCGAATTCCTGACAAATGATATGGGATAGATGAGCTATTTGACAATTAGTTGAAACATTGACACACGAAAAAGGTGCAGAGAGACTGTTCCTAATGGAACTCACCGAACGAAGAGAGGCCAGGGTAGCAGCATTATCTGCTGCAGCAGGAGCTGCAGAGATAGGTGATACAGAACCAGGATGAGCAGTGCGATCAGCATCTGCACCAACATCCGAGGTTGCCAGTAACTCTGACTCCTCTGCTTCCTGGAATACATATTGAAAAATCATAAGTCAAAGTCTTCTATTCTCCTTCTACATGATTGGCTGACCGGTGGCAGAGAAGATAAAACATATTCAAAAAATTGGTGCCAACCAATTAAATATGCAGTCCAACCCTTAAAAGATATATGGCCTTCAAGTACAAAATAGTAGAAAATTGACACAGTTTCAAAGAGTTTTAAGGAAAAATATTGAAGTGTGACTGAACATTGTGTTATTCTTTTACGGCATGTATGTTATAGCTAGTTACAAACATACAAGGCGCCTGAAAATCTAAGAATTTGGACTTTTCAATTCACCTTGGCCGAAATAAAAAAAATTCAGGGAAAAAAAGTTCAATTAAGACCTACCCATGAACAATTCACAGCTAAAATAACTTAAGATTAGCTAAGCTTAGGACCATTAGATACAAAAAAAATTAGTTCAGATTAGCTCAAATCACGACCAATAAGTTCATTTATATAAAGAAAAGCTCAAATTTTAATCATTAAAGGGAAATATACTGAGCAGTCGGCAGGAAATTGCTTATATTCTAAATCCTAACACAGAATAAGGCAATTTTCTCATAGTCAAGATCATAGCCTAGATCAATTATCAGGAAGAAATAATTTCTTGTTATCTACAACAACTAAAAGCATTTTACATGAGCCATTTTATAGCTGAAAAAATATGAATGACAAGCTCAATCTCATTCGAAGGGGGGAAGAAAAAAGGTAGAGGACAGGTAAGACCAAAAAGCATTAACAATACATGGGAGGTTAAGAAAGTGATCATCAAAATCAAAAGGTACAAAATATAAGTACAGAACTAGGACCAATCATTTCGAAGATAGCTGAATACAGTTTTCAGTCTCAAACTCTATCTCACCCTTGAAGATAACAAAACCCTTTAAAAATCAATACCAGAAACATCGCAGATGCACAAGCAAAGAATATGGACTACAAAAGCTGGCCAGTTTTTTGGGTAAAAAGCACTATAGCCCCACCAATCACATTATGTGAACAGTCATATAAAAGTAGAGGTAAGCGCAAGCTCAACATATCCTCTTTAATAATAATTTTTTAAACATAAATCAAGCAGATAGCATCCCGACTTATAGAGTACCTTAGCCAACAAACGTGCCTCTTGAATTCTTTTAGCTTCAGCAAGAATCTAAAAAACAAGAAAACACAATAAGAAGTGACAATGATATGCACTAATAACAAGTTAGCTAATACTAGAACTCTAACAAAGATTGCTACTGAGGCTACAATATAGCTTTGCAGACTATAGATAACACAATAAAGTGCAGACCTCAGCGTCCTTGCGCTCTTGATGTTTTGTTTGAGAAAGAACCATTGACAAAGCACGCTTGCGCTCTGTCTCCTGTTTTGCATTGTACGGTTCCTATTACATGAAAGCAGGTTGCAACAATATGTTAATACAATTACAAGCAGAAACCTTAATAGGGATATCAATGAGCCAATGCATTCGTGAACAGCTTGTGAACAAACTTGGTCAAAGCTAGTTTGTTAATAAACAAATGACTCGAACAAAAATTTCAAGTTCGTTTAGTAAAAAAGCCTAGCTCGAACAGCTTATAACTTGACTTCTTAAGGCTCGTGGACAGCTTTATGTTTGTTTATATGCTCATTCGTGTATGTTTATAAACTCGTTCAAGCTCGAATATTATAAATTAAAAAAATCTATGCCCGCTTTTTTATTTTAATACGTGAAATATCTTTTTAAGAAATTTATAGTATATCACAAAAGAGAACCAAAATGTATATTATCAAAAATGATTATTTTTAATATTAGCTTTTTTTAATAATAGCATTATATATTTTATTCAAAAAAAAAAAAAAAAAAAAAAAAAATAGCATTATATATCCGTTTAAATTCGATCTTGCTCATTTATCATGACTAGTTAACAAAAAAAAAAATTCCAGTTTACTTAGCTCAGCTCAAGCTTGAGCACGAATTAAACAGCCTACTCATAAGCTAAACTCAAACAACAAAAAACTTAGACGAGCCCAGCTCAAACAAGCAAAATAAAGCTCAGTTGTTTAATTCATGCTACTTGCATGTTTCTTATCAAGCCTAAATCGAACGGCTAATACTCAGTTTGATTCAGCTTGTTGATATCCTAAATCTTGATAGATAATTAAAACGATTATTAATCAGTTCACCATACCTTAATCAATGGATGCCCAGAAACATCAGCAGGAGATGGAGCTCTAGCTATCAGTAAAGCTCTAGTCACTGTACAAAAGAATACGAAGTTAAGTAAAACACTGAAAGGATTCAATTATAGCTGAAGAAGTTAATTCATATTAAAACATTTTCCAAGCAAAACACTTCAGAAAATGCAGAGAGAGAGAGGTATGAAATACAAGGTCAGCAGAGAAATACCACTATAATATCGATCCTTCAACTCCTCCACAGTCCGAGGCGATGGAAACCTATCAGCTATTAAGACAAAACGGAGATCGAACCTCTCACACAGCTCAAATAAGGTGTCTGTCTCTTCCTTAGTCCATTTCTGGAAAGAAGATAACGCCAAAACAGAGGGAAAAAAAAAAAAAAAGGGGGTTACGAATAGGATGCAGCTGTATGTTATATAATGTGCTTAAGTAGCATGGGTTACTTGCAAGAAAATTTATTATGAAGGATGAACTCCCCAGAAAAAAATCCAGCAAACTTAAGTAAGATGCGTGAAATGACAATGTTTATGCGCGGTGAATCCTTGGATAAAATCTCAACAAACTCAACTTGAAGCAGACAGTAATTGTAGAATAAATTTTTCTAAAGTCCTAATACATGCATATCAAGGTGAAATTTCAAGATCAGAATAAATTTGTTATGTATTAAACGACTTCCTTCGTTCTTTTCCTATTGAAGCATTTGGGTTTTTACCCTTCAAACACAACCCTTTGACCACCTATTGTGATTATTACAAAAGGAAAAATATAGTTATATGGGGTCTTGTTTCATTCGTCTCGATATACACTTTCAAAATAAACTCTTCAATTTTTACAAAAAGATAACAAAAGATAAATGGTCAAAATGCAAATTTTCACATGTTGCAAACTTGCAATAGATAAAGAACAGAGGAAGCATTTATTATGAATTGATACCTACAGGATCTGTCAAGTAGTTCTCGTACTCCTCGTCTGTGTATTTGATAACATCAACTGACTGGGACACAAAAGCAAAAAGAATGTCTCATTTCGGGAAGTAATATAGCAAAGCAGCCAAAGAGCCAAATCATTAGGAGGAATGTGGGAGCTCAAGGGGCAGAAGCTCCAACAACTCAGACCATGAGGTTGCTCAAACCCTGTCCAACCAATCCTCAAGCTGGGAGAGAAGAGGTTGCTCATTCAGTCCTACTATTGTATGGTACAATTTAGAAAGCTATTTTTCCATATCCTACCATCCCTCTCCACCCAATGCCCCAAAATACGAGACAGGATATTATATATATCCATCAGTTGTAACATGTTTATTCTTAAATTGGCTAAGGCATAATATACAGCAATGAGCATACCTTGTTATATTTGGCAAAAGGATAATCACCCGTTGGAGGCACACCATTTACAACTCTGACCTACATGAAGAATTGGAAAATTCAGTTAATGCTCAATATAAAAATCAAACAATTTCATTTATTAAGACAGAAGAGATCAAAGTGAAGAAACATATACCCAGTGGTAGAGCTCCAAATTATCTTTCCGAGCTGAATTTGTGAACGAAAGCCATTGCCAAGTAACCTGCTCAAGACATGGAAAATGGGTGACTTAAATATAAATTAGCATTCATGCTCCAACCCTTCGTCAAGGTGCATCACCCTCCAAGACAATTAGAACTACTTTCAGTCGTTCGTCGTTACATTTGACACGAACCCAGATAAGCAAGCGCCCATGGAACCTATGTTACTCACTGCTTAAACTTAACTAAGAAAACACGAAGTAATTCATACCATTGAAGTGTCAATTGTCAATTATCTACTTACATGGCTATAAACCCAGTAAAATGATGATTCCAAGTAATATTAATGTAACTTCTTTATTACATGACTACGACTCGATGACAAATTCATTCCAAGACGAGATTTTTCCAAGCAATTGAGCTCAATTTCACAAAATCAAAAGACAAAATGATAAAAAAATAAGCAAAAGGGTGTGACCTTCTCATCAGTTGGTCGACGTTTCTTGAGCTGAGCGACATCAATTGCTGGCATAAGAGGTGGAACTCCTCCAGTAAGCATGTAAACCTATTCATTTATCATACAATCAAAAATTCAACATCTTCCAAAAACTATCAAATTCAAAGGGCAAAAAAGGAGGAGAGAGAAAATTGTTAAAACCTCGCGAGAAATGCCATCGGGCTTCCGGTGAGGTTCTTTGGGAGGTTTAGACTTCTTCTCTTGTGATAATGGCAAAGTGTTTTTGGGTATTCCGAGAATGTCTTTTGCATCCATCTTTCACTCTGCCTTTTCCAGATAAATTCTCCAGATCTGATAATTAGTTTATCAGGGAGAGTGAGTTAGTTCGATTTCTGGGAAACTTTGAATATGCCCTAAATCAATTTGATCTTCAATTCTTCAATTTGGGGAAAAACCGAGAAATGGTAGGGAGGTTGGAACTTGGAAAAACACCCTTTGATTTGTGTCAAAAATAAGCAAAATTTTCCGAGGGAAGATGAGTGACAAATCAATAACGTTTGACCCTAAAATGTAAAATATTTTCCCACCGATTAACGAGTTAATGAAGTATCATTGTAACAACATAGTTTTGGGGGGTTATTAGAGTTGGACGGAGTAATAAGTGGATTTTATTTTATTCAAACTTGTTTTCTTAGTATATGTTATAATATTATGTTTGATTAAAGGGCCGTCTTAACCATATTAGGAGCCCTGTGTTGATTTTCAATTTTGGCCCCCATATATATATATATATATATATATATATATATATATATATATATATTCTCCGTTATGCCACGGTAATTTTTCTATAAAATTAAGCACCAATTCTAATTGCATTTTGCTGTACAGACAAACAGTTTAGTAGCATCCCAAATCCCAATACAAGTTATACAGCTTCTAATTCTTCTTTATCAATGGGTAGAGCAATAAAGTACTTATGCATACTATTTTACACAATATATACTTATATTACATTTGTATTTTCTGAAGTTGGAACAAAAGATAATCCACTTGCATTTACAAATACACAAAATAAATCCCAAAAAAAAAAAAACAATTTTAAAAAGATTTGTAGAACTATGTTAAAAAAATAAAGACCATAAAACTATTAGGGTTCTTCTGGTTCCTTTTAGGGTTTCCCCCTTGGGAAGATTTTTTTTAGCCTCCATTGCTAGATTTTTTCTATTTTTTTTTTTTTTTTTGAAGGTTTTCTTCATTCTTCTCCTTTTCTCTCTTTCTCCTTCATCTCTTTTCTTCTGATCTCTTTTGTGAATCTTTGTAAGGGCTTCTATAAGTGTTTTTACCGGTGGTAAGCCCTAAAAAAAAACTTTTTAATTGTTTTCAATAAGTGGATCCCATCTTTGAGATGGTGGTTATTCTATTATGGTTAATTTCTTTTCGTGTTTGTCTGTCGAAGATTGAAAATTTAGGGTTTCATAATATCCGAAAGTATCTAGAAGACCATATGAGTATTTTCACTCAAACAACTATTCGTCAGTGGATCTCAAACCAAATTAGTGTTAACTCACAAATTGTATTGCTTCGGATGAAATTTAAGGCGATCGTTGATCGAATTTGTGATGTAACTAGTTCTAAGGTGATTTGTACTTATGTTGGAATTCTAATTTTCCTCGGAATTGTTTGTAAGTGTCGTTTGGCTATCTTTCATTAATGAAATCCTTTTTCTTCTTGTAAAAAAAAAAATAAAATAAAAAATAAAGTTAACAAAATTTCAAAAGACAAAGCCATAGAAAATTAAATTCCAAAAATTATCAAAAAAAAAAAAAAAAAAGCCATGAAAACCATAAAACCCATGAAGTCGCAATCCATTAACACAAATAAACAATCAAAAAAAATTACGGAGTAGTGATCGAAATTACCAAGTATTTGGAATTTGGTAATTTGAACGAAGTTTGGAACTAATCATATGTATTAATTGGAGTTTGAATCTTCCACTTTGATGAATTCATCTTTATAACCGTTTTATGGGTCTTACTCAATCGAGTGTAAAATGTAATAGCAAAGAAATTTAGCATTATATTACTCATTGATAATTCGTTGAAAGAAGAGGGAGGAGGCTGAGAGTTTTTCATACCGAAAGAAGAAGAGAGTAATGAATTTTAACTTTGGTAAATACATAATTATCATTAATGTAAATTAAGGAAGATGGAAAGTTGCTATGTAAATTCAATGAGAGAGAATAAAAAATCGTAATTAGTGCAGTCAAAAGAGAAACAACACAATGAATAATTGAATATATACAGTCCAGATTAGTAAATTACAAATAATATTTTTTTTTATTTTTATTTTTTTATTTAAAGAAAACAACAAATCAGATTTTGGGGCCCTCTTGAATGAGGACCCTGTGTTATCAGCCCAATATCCGGCCATATTTGATTAACACTTATTGAATTGATTCTCCAGTCTCCAAATAGATTTAACGTTGTTAGTAAAGACAAGTTTTTTAAATAGCAAATTGATAAGTATTGCATAGTTACAAGTATGGGCCATAGCCCCATCGGTGTTGCTACCCAACCAAGGGCCAAGGCAGAAAAGACACAATGCATGGGTGCTAAAATCACCTACTAGTATATATGGTAATAGTAGGAGAATTGATATTGGCACACTCTTAATTGATTGGCACACCTCCATGTGAGAAGAGCATAAAAAATTGTACTCTCACATAAGATAAGGTGTGCCAAAATCATTTCCCTCATAGTAGCAGGGGCGGAACATCACGGGGGCCGGTAGGGGCCGCAACCTCGCCAATTATAATTTTGCAGTAAAAATAAGTTCAAAAATCGTTAATTTTAGCTTAAAATAGGTTAATTTATATATTTGCCCACCTTCAAAAGTACAATTTTTTTTATTATGGCCCCTTTTAATATACTATATTTCTGGTTCTGTCCATACATAGTAGGAAGTTTTTCAAAAGGCATGAGTATGAGAAAAAAGCCTAACCAAGGCCATATATGACCAAAGTACACAACTTAAGACATGATATGATGACGAGGAGTGCAAAGTTAATTATTTAAGGTGTGAATTAGATGGATTTAACCCAAATAGGGCTCTCAAGGTTTTTAGGGAAGCAAAAAAATCACCTCAATGCTCATTCTCCAATGCTAAATTGTAGGTTATATTATATCATTATATTTTGTGGATCTCTTTACACCCAAATAAAATTACATAAAATTAATACTTCGTATTTTATTAAAATGCATTGTTATTACTTCTATTAGAATTAGAATGCATTGTTATTACTTTCGAGCAATGTGATCAACCTTGACAATGCACGGAGTTAACAACAACACAACGGATTATCAATTAGCATTAAACATTGACTTGCTCTCCTTATTACTTTTAGTCAAACATCAATGTTTTAAATTTCCTTCTTAAAATTATAAAAGTACTCTGCAATAAAATAAAATAAGTTAATTATAATGAATAGCGAACCAAAACAAAAGGGAAATAATAAAAATAAGTGGATAATAGTGCTCACCATGTGTGGGCTACTATCCTTGTCCCCATAAACCGCATATATATAAGTCTCACACTCAAGTCTCAATTCAAGCTTCTCATCCTATAATATTCTTACAGACCTCCTTTCTCTCTCCTCACTCAACCTCGTTCTTTTCTAGCTTAAGCAAGCCCAAAGGGCCGGGCCCCATTCAACGTAGCATCATAACCGATCCAAACAACTCTTCCATATATATATCTATCTTCAACCCAATCAATGGTTTATGATATGAGGTAATTAAAGTATACTTCTATATGATATCATTAATATTTATTCTACCATTTGATGATTATTTTGTTAGTATTATTATAAGCTTTTCGGTTACATGCATCATTAGCTTATATAAATTTAAACTTCATGTTTATAATTAGTTGATATATATAAATAATCTGATTCATACATGCTTTATTTCCCACTGATTATTAGTAATTTCTTTGTTGATGGCAAGCATAGGTCCTCCTTTGCTGCCCTAAAACACTGTGGCCATGGTCATCATCAAGGTGTACAAGAGCTCCGGAACACGGTTGATCTCTCAGCAACAAACACAACGACGACGACGACAACAACAACAACAACGCATCATGATAGTTGTGAAGAAGGAAGAAGAAGCTTCTCATCACTATCATTAGTTATCAAGTCTTAGCCTTTAATTCGGTGCTATCCTACCTGAGCTTTATTACTCTACATATATTCTCTATCAGTTTTCACCCCATCTTTTTTATTCTCTTTTTCTTGACCTTGTAAGACCTTTTCTTGACCTTGTAAGGCCTGGTCCGATATAATTTACCCTAGTTTCTAGCCGAACCAAGGTATTCTTCATTGAACACGGATTCGGTATATTAGTTAACTAGGGTTTCACATAACCTTCCAACTCATCATCCCACCTCTTGTCTATCCCTCCTGAGCTACAGAATTACTACTTAAGTCTTCCATGGAAAGAAGTTGCTATGTATATCTTCAAAGTTTGAAAAGCTTAGCTTGCTCATGAACGAACGGCGGCGGCGGCATTTCACGAACATGGAACTACCTTAAGGCCTTATAAAGGGTGAACCTGTAAACCCTTTCACTTCTTATTGTATAATACGGAGTACTCTGTAATATATACATATATATCTTGTACATTGAAACTCTTATGAGATCAAATAGATATACAATATTCAGTAACATTATTATTTGTCTAATATTAAACTGAATATCAAATAGACACTCCTTAATAAAAACAAAAGTGCCTCTTCCGTGTGGCACGGCTGATCGATTTGTTGACCAGGGCAACGCAGAATTTTAGGTGGCTTCTTTTGAATATTAAACAATAGGTTGGCAGCTTAGTACATATGCAAGTTGTGTGAGTTTTAGTGATGGAAGCTTTTTATGCTTTGAGCTTCGTTAAATTTGTCAAAATTGTTCTCTTTTTCCTATGTAAGAGCACATTCATGATGTTTATAATAATTGACCTTAGTGCTGTGGTTTGGTGCTGCGCAAAATATTTGTCCTTTAGCTTTTCCTTAAGAGCAACATAAGTAAACAAATGTTGTTAGTTTCTTACAAGAGGGAACGCATGTTTGTTACCTTTTTTAATCAAGTGGATTGGCGTAGTGGCACACTCCCATGTATTTTTAGGGCAGCGTTCTAGTATACAAGGGTTCAAATCCCCTCCATATATTATTCTCCTAAAGATATACTGAGTTGTTTACATTATATTTACACGTATCAGATGAAGGAAATGATTTCTTGTGAGAATTTCTAATCGATCTGCATAATTAACCAAACATCATCATTAGATGAAAATTCGATAGCATAAGTGTTATCCATTAGTAACCAAATGACAACTGAATAGAGGCTAATTAAGGCCGGTCTTGAAAATAATGTTTGATATCTTAATTTATTGTGAGTTGGATGTAGAGACTCTTGGGGCAACGCAACCATAATACATATCACATTCTCTGTATAAATTAATCTTGGAGTGCATATATACACAGTATATCGATATATAGATATTTGAGAAATAACATCCTTAAATAATGAAAAAACTGCACGAACTAAAAGACCCTCAAAAAGAAAAAACAAATGAGCCTATGACAATGAGGTTTATGTTTATAGGGTTATCGCCAATTGAACATCCAGAGCTAGCAGACCATCAAGGACATTATATTGGCTGCCAAAATTAAATCTACGCATATATAGTACACGTACTACAAAGTGCCAAAAGCCTTGAGCAATATATACCCCAGCTCAATCTTCATTCATTTTTGTGGAGATATTGGACAGCGATTAAACCAATGTATGCCAAGACAAACTGTCATTATTCACGATTCATTGCTTGCAGTTTTAACCAAACAGACATTCGTGTGACATATTTCCTCCGCAAACTTATCAACTTGTCACTATTATACTAAGACATTTGCCTATTGATATTGCACCAATTAGGTAATTAAGTAGACGCTCCACCAATTATAAACTTTCAATTTAGATCGATTGATAAACTAACAACTAATTATTGGATACGGGTGGAATACATTATTGTTTAAATCAATAAAGTTCTTTAAATGTGTATGATATGTAATAGAATAAACTACTTTTGGCCTTCTCGGCCTGTTAGAAATTGAAATAGTCTTGATATTATATTGAATTGATAAACTTATATGTGATTTTACAATTAGATGGCTTTGACTCATTACTTTGACTATGATCTTGCAAGAAAAAGTCAAGTCTTTTTAGTTTTTAATAATTTCATATCAATCTTTGCAAAGAAAATCACTCCTATGTTTGAAACTAATTTTTTTTTTTTTTTTTTTTTTTTTTTGCGCCAACTGCACATCAAAGTAAAGATCTCTTTGGCTGGGAACTAGGTATATCGAGAAATTTACAAAGTAGTTAGCTAGCTAATAGACAAGTTGTTTTAAGGCTCCTATTTATCCGGGACCACTTAAAAGTCTTCCATGTTTATGTATAACAAGGACATATAAAAATTAAAGACATATACAAAGTATAAAATAGTATATAAGCATATACATTTCCACATAATATGATGTTTATAATACATTTTTTATATATGTACATAGTACATAATGCTCAATTTAACTTATTAATTTATCTTTTAATGTACAAACAAACAAGCTTAGTAAAAACAACTAGCCTATATATTTACTCGGCGTATGATGATTATTGAAATCGGCATAATAAAAAGGTACATAAAGACGTAAAATAGTTACCGATGGGGCCGGGGAAGGGTAGTGCAATGAGGTGAAGTTGACAAAATAGAGGTGCCTCAATGATAGTGTCCTTTGACACTCATAACGTGTATAATGTGGAATAGATGAATTGAAGCCAACAGGAACCCGTGAATTGAAAATATATATGCACCTTTTTGTGGGGACTAGCGAGTGTCGAGCGCATTCAACGCATCCCTTTAACTAAATTTCCATCTTTTAGGTAGCACTCACATGGGCAGGTTTCTTTACCCATTTTTGGTTTCCATAATATCTTTTCATCCTCCTTATCTTACTCCACCTGTTTTTGCATTCCCAGATTTTTGCTAAAATTATTTTTAAAATCATTATGGTTAATCATTTTGTTAATGAATAAAAGGCTTATTTATCAAATGCTCATGTGTAAAAGAAAGGTGAACATTATAAGAAAATATATATTGAGGTTTGATTGATTAAAGATTAATTGGTGGGTGATAAAAAAAATAATAGTGGAGTTTGATTGAACAAAGATAGATAATCCATACTCAAATAGTGAGGTTTGTTTGAATGATTTTTTTTTTCTAGAGTACGAATGTAGGATCAATGGAGCATCGATTACATTAAGAAGATAACACGACCAACTCAAATGGCATAGTGTGGAGTGCAGTGGACTCAAAGCTAGCTAAGTGTGTTAGATCATAGGCCATGCTTGAGCTATATTTACGGATTATGTTGAAAAGTATGGCAAGACACGACACAACTTGACATAATACGATAATGGTTGACACAATATTCACTTATATGATTGGTTGGGCCAAGATAATCTCAATATAGGCGAGATTAACATGAGATACAAGTATACAACACCATATGACACAAAGACATCATTATTTGTCAAGGATAGGGAGACTTGGGCTTTGCTCTTTTTGCATTCGTTTTTAATCGACACATATTGACTTTTGAAACTATTCACAAACTCCATTTTGACTAGCTTTTGTGATTTATAATTATGACAAAATATAATCATATGAAATCTTGTTAAAGGCTTCTCAATGTATATATTTTTATAATATTATTAAATTTTTATAATATGTAGAGATATTAATGATTGAACATGCGTTGACAAACGTGATAAAAAAATGTGACAACTAAAAAGTAACATCAAAAGTATTTACTTGGTCCAAAGCAACGGAAGTATATTTTGGACAACCAGATGTGCCCTAAAAGTCTAAAGCCCAATTCACTTGTGATATGGGCTTGAAGGAGCAACAGCTTAACCAAACCATATGTCAAGGCCTCATGGGTAGTCATCAAGTCCAATGGGCAAAAGTTACTGAAAGGCCCTCATTATGAAACAGCCCAATCAATCTCATTATAAATCTACAGTAACCGTAAATATTACGTATAGTCTCACCACTCTTTCTCTCTCACCTAAAATACAGAGTAACAGAATTAACAACGCACAAGCCAACTCAAATTCTGCCAAGTGTAAGTTACTCCACGTGTATTACCTTCATTGGTTCCCATGACCTTGCTATTTTCACTCTCAACAAACAATACTGTACTTCATAAAACCCCCCTCTTAAAACTCTCTCGAGAGATTTCCTGAAATTTCACTCATAATCTTCTTCTTCTTCAAATATTAATTTCTGGGCAAGTAAAGATTTGATCTTTGGAAAGCTGCTGCAATGTTGTTACGATTAGGGTTCATTCTCTGTATATTCGCAATAATCCCATTAAAATCACAATCAGCAGTGTTAAGCATAGATCTGGGTTCAGAATGGCTCAAAGTTGCTGTCGTAAATCTAAAACCAGGCCAACCTCCGATTTCAATCGCAATTAACGAAATGTCAAAGCGTAAATCCCCAAATTTAGTCTCTTTTCAATCTGGAATTCGTTTGATCGGTGAAGAATCCTCCGCTTTGATCGCTCGTTATCCCGATAAAGTTTACGCCCAAATTCGTGACCTAATCGGAAAACCCTACTCCTTCTCCAAGCAAAAGATTGATTCTTTCTACTTGCCCTACCAAATTGTCGAAGATTCTAGAGGTGTTGCGGCTATTAAGGTTGATGATGGCGAGATTTATTCATTGGAAGAAATGTTGGCGATGATTTTGAGTTATGCGTTGGATTTAGCTGAGTTTCATTCCAAAGTTGCTGTAAAAGATGCGGTGATTACTGTTCCGCCGTATTTCGGGCAGTCGGAAAGAAAGGCGGTGATTCAAGCTGCTCAATTGGCTGGTGTTAATGTGTTGTCTTTGATTAATGAACATTCTGGAGCTGCATTGCAGTATGGAATTGATAAGAAGTTTGCGAATGATTCCAAATATGTTGTGTTTTATGATATGGGTGCCACTTCTACTTATGCTGCTCTTGTTTATTTCTCTGCTTATGATACTAAGGATTATGGCAAGACTCTTTCTGCCAACCAATTTCAGGTATTCTTCTGTCCTCCGCCTTTGTTAATTTGTACTCGCTCCGTCTCTAAATGTTCTTCGTGTTTTGATCGTGGTTGTCTCACAAAGAAGTAAGAACTTTTGGAGTAGCATTTTGTATATTTGATCGAGAATTTAACTCATAGGAAGGTTAAGGGATGATGAATGTTATAATTGGTGCTGCAAAATGTAGTAATTAGGAGATATATTATGAATTGGAGAATTTGATAGCTGTATTTTCGTGTGAACCTGTTGTTGGTCATACTATAGTGTCTTAGTGTTTTGTTTATACAATTTATTGTCGTTGGTGTAGGTTAAGGATGTAGTTTGGAATGCTGAACTTGGTGGTCAACATATGGAATTGAGATTGGTGGAGTACTTTGCTGATGAATTCAATAAGCAGCTTGAAAATGGGGTTGATGTAAGGAAGTTTCCTAAAGCAATGGCAAAATTGAAGAAGCAAGTCAAGCGTACTAAAGAAATTTTGAGCGCCAATACTGTGGCTCCAATATCGGTTGAGTCAATCCATGATGATCGCGACTTCAGGTTTGTGGACTGCTCAATTCTGAGTTACTAACTTTGATTAATGCAAGCTTTGTAACCTGTTCTAAAACTTGCAATTTTATGCACTTTATGCATTTACTAC